TAAATCACACTCTGCTTCCCAAGTATATTAATACTATGTCATCTGCACCAAGCATGTAGCTGAGAATAGTGGCTTCTTTTTTCGTGTTTTTGCTGTGTCGGAGCATTTGCTGTGGGAAGTGAGAATTTGATACAATTTTGTCTAAGGACAGGACATATGGAAAGTCTTTGTAAGCTCCTTCATAAAGGGGACAGATGTTCTGTGCAACTATATTTACAGCGTCTTGCAGATGCTGTTGTACGCTCATTGTAACACTTAGAGTAATAATATAAAGCACAGGGACACACCTGAAAGGTCTGACACTTTAACAGAGGAAAAGGAAACTGTAGAAAGAGAAGGAGCAAAAGCCTCTTTACACTGAAGATCAGGGCGAAAAAATCACATTGACTTTAAAAGACTGAGTATGCTACCAGTATTATTTCTTTTTTGTTAAGACTAAGCACTGAGACTTAAAAGCTTTTACTTTGATAAGTCCAGATGTTACTTCAGCTTGTTTCGCTGACATTGTGGTGGGTCATTGGCGTGGAGCAACACAGCTGGTCACTGACATCACCACCCAACAATCTCAAACCGGAACCGAGTCAGCTCCAAAAAGCTCCCACATACTTTTCAGATATGCCTCCAAAATATTAGAGAGGAACAGAGTATGATGAGTAGGTAAATATTTTGATCTGCATATTTTTTTTCTGCTCTGACCTTCAATCCAAATTCTAATGAATTTTGTCTTTGAGCAGGCAGGAAAAAGGAAATTTAAAGTTTTCAGTTTTCTTCTTCAACCAATAGAACAATGAAAATGTTATGTAATATTAAAGGGCTTTTTACAGCTCGTTAATCATTCCTGTTGATTGAGTTTGCTTTATAAATTTCCTGCCGATTTTTGAATATATTAACATGCCAGGTTTGACTCCAGTTCCTCTCCTCTCTTACTTTCTTCCTCTTTCTTCTGAGTGAAGATCAGAACTTTTGACATATTCTTATATTTACTAGAATTTTTCTGCCTATACAAATAAATCCTGATGCTTCAAGTTTATCAACAGATTGCATTTCACTTACCATAGTGTAATCAGGAAATTCAAGACTTCTACTAAATGTTAAATGTGGGGTAAGATATCTTAACAAGCTATTATCCATTGATGATAACTATCTGTTATGCATTTTGCCTTTCAGAATGCTTATATTTTGAAATTTTACTTGATTGCATGGAATTCAAATGCTTTTGTACTCTGAATAGATAATAAGCTTTTCTGCATGCAAGCAGGGTGTGTATCTGCCAGTAAAACCAGTGATTGAGCCCACAAAGTAGGGACACTAATATATTTCATCCAGCTTGCTTATTTTCTTGCTCAACATGTAGGTTAAGCATCACATGTTGCTCACAGTATCTGTGAGAATTCTCATTTTTCTTACAGCATGGTAAATAACATCTCTTAAAAGATTTATCTGGAAGACGAAGGAAAAATAATTAAAGAATAACACCATTAACATATTTTAAGGAGGCTATCCACTACAGATACTGTGCTTCATTTCTTTGCATTAGTTCAAATTTAGAGCTGATTATTGCCTGTTTTATCTGTAGTGTGATCATACAAATCATTTTTCCTGATTGTAGTATCTAATGCAAGGGCTGCCCAGCTCTCTTCAGAAATTTTAAGTACATGGGTATTTGTACAGCAGATATTGCCTATCAGAAATAGGTTTTTATTTCTTGAACTGTATTGAAAAGCACCAATGTCTTTAAATATCAAATAAGGGTATTGGAACAGGCTAGCATGATTCACTTTTAAGAAATCTATGTCTATATCGACATTTTTCTTTCCTTGCACTCTTGTATATAGGCAAATATTTTACCAGAAGTTCAGGAATACTTCATAGGCCTCAATTTGTGTCTTTTCACCTGCAGCTTCCCCACCATTGTTCTCGAATGACCACTGCTATTTCTCAATCATTAAAATTCTGTTTCCATTGAGTCCTTCCTTTGGTCATACTCCATAAGTTTGCTTAGAAATTAATTTTTCCACACTAAGTTTCAGAATCACAGATTTGTAGGAGTTGGAAGGAACTTCTGGAGATCATCTAACTCCCTTTTAAAGCTTGCGCCTGGAGTAGATTGCAAGGATGACAGTAGTTTTCTCCAAAAATGATGACAAATGGTGACTGTCTGAAGATCACTAGAAACAGCAGCCTAGATTAGGAGCCAGCATCTTGTCTTCCTTACCCAACTACAGAGGCTTACTAATTTTATTTGGGATAAGTATTAGGTCTCTGCCAACTTGTGAGCACTGGGTGTGAGCAACCTGGGTGCATGCTGTGTGAACTCGTGAAGGGATTTCTGGCTCTTCACTTTAACAGCTGGACACACCAGAAGGCAATGAGTATTGTAGTTGCTCTCAAATGGATGGTAGCTCTCTGTACCATAAATTATAAGGTTTTCCAAGTTATCATTTAAATGTAGCGTGCTTCGCTTTTTCTGCTAAGAAATAGCTATTTCTTTAAACCCTCCTTCCCTCCCTCTCTAAAGTCAGGGTATATGAGGTTTGTGAGTGAAGAAATCTTGCTCATTCTTGAGTGCCCAAGTGGCTAATTTGGTTTCATGAATTACTGAGAGGGAGCTCAGCTGGGGTCATTTAGAGCTTGGGTTGTGTTTGCTTTTGTTGTGTTTCTGTAGAGCCTCTTGAAATTGATTCCAGAACTTTTTACTGCACCTGGCAGAAAGTTGTGTTTTCTTTCCAATCTCAATCTGAAAAATTAAGGTTTTCCCAAATAAGACTGTTCTCTGTCATAATTCTGCCTTTAGAAATGTTAATGAGAACTCTGTCCCTTCTTGCTGTACTGGCCCATGGCAGATCCCCAGGGCTGCATCAGTATGATCTTGTTAGACCTGAAAGACTTGTTAGACCACTCTTTGCAGAAAGCCACATCATTAAGAGAAAATGCTAACAACTGTTTTTACCAATTTGATCAAATGCTCACTGAACTCATTTTCTGCAACCATGACTATTAGCCTACTGTTTTGTTATAATAGCCAGTTTCTCACTCCATGCTAGCTCTAAAGTTCTATTTTGTTGCCCAAACTGCATGCATTTATTATGTGAATGTTTCAGTTTCATTATTTTTAAAAACCTTAATAGTTCCTGAAAAAGACTATATACTTCTGTAATAATACATGTCTGGCTGCCATTTCATCAGTATAAATGATCTCTTTCTGCTGAAAATATTGTCTTCTTGTCCTTTGTGCATTTCATCCTCATACAGACATTAAAGCTGATAGGTTGAGATAAGAAAAGGTAGATCACTCACCAATTACTGTCATGCAAAAAGAGCTTGGCATCGGGGCATCATTGTAATTTATTTCCTATTGCTAATGGACTAGAGCACTGAGAAACCCATCCATGCTCTTCTGCCATCTCTCCCAAAGTGGCACAGGGGAACAGGGAATGGGGCTGCAGTGAGTCCATAATCCTTGGTCTGTGCCATGGACACTCTCTGCCCCTGTTCCTTGTGGGATCCCTGTCATAGGATTTTGTCTTTCACAAACTGATCCTACACAGATCCTGCAGGCAATTGACTCTTCAAGAACTGTTCCAATATATGGGTCCATACCAGGGAGTCCATCCTTTGGTTTCTTCCTTTCTACTTGTGGGACCAGCTGCTCTTTTCTTCTTTGCTGTTTTTCTTCTGTTTTGAGAAATGGCCTTGATCAGCCAGTGGGTAACAGATGTGAAGAGTATGGCACTCATGGGTGCCACATATTCACTGGTGGCCCTGACATCGTCGGCACAAGACACCCACATTGCTAATGTTTATATTGGCCTTTGCAGCACAGCCACAGGCATTCTCTTGTCCTCTTAACAGGCTGGACCTAGGCCAGTACACTGCAAGAGCAAGAGTGGCACAATTTGATTTTAAAGACTGCTCAATCCAAGTGTGTCATTTGATGCAAAGTTGTTTTCATATTTAAAAGAATTTAAATACATTTTCTTGAAAAATGCAAATATGGAATTTGAGAAAAAGTGATGGAACACAGTTACGAAAATGACACAAAAAAGACTGTACTCCAAATGCTCTTTAGCTGCTCCAATTTCCCAAACAATTTGTGAGATTAACTAAATAGCCTCTGCAGCTTACCTGAGGCTAAGACCAAGAGAATGTTTTCCTTTCTTATTTTGCTGCACGTGGCTGTCAGAGTTATGCAGAGTATCTGAACTGCGCAGCCTGTTCTTTTCCATCCCAGTAACACAAGCTTAATTTTTTTCCTCCATCTTCTTTGCACAAAACATATTTTATTTGTCAAGATGTTGGAAAAACAGAGAATTTTTCTCAAAGAACTAAGCTGATTCTTTCTACCTTCATCATTATGTTGTTTTCCCAACATAGTCAGCACATTCTGACTTTGGGCTGCTTTTTTTGCTGTTGTATTTTTCTGAAGACACAGTGCTAAATGTTAAACTAGAAATAGCTGTGGTACAAACTTTTAACTAGATTTGAAGCTATTTTTTTTTACCTCTAGGCACTGGTTTAAATTAAACATACTATAGTATCTAAGGTAATTGGGAGTAGAACCTGAAAAGTAGGACAAACCTACACACAAACTTCTGAGGAAGAACTTCTTTACTTCTTACATCTCATTTTTCTAAGTGGTCAAGTATTCAGATAAAGATCCAGGCCAAAAAAGTAATTCAGTTATGCACAATTATTTCTTTTTTAAAAATCACCTAGTCACCTATATGGGAACTGTTGAGTCACAACTGTTGAGCCTGAACCAGTGATTGATCACCTGAGGCAAGGACTGAGTCAGCTATGTGAGCACAGGTGAAGGCAATTCACCTGTGAGCCTGGTTCCACCTCTCCCAGACCCTATTAAAGGACTGACTGCCAGTAGGGAAGGTTCTTTTTCTGGAGATCCTTTGTTTTGTAGTTCTGTACTGTGAGCCTAGGATGTAAGTGAGCATTTCATTTTTGATTGTATCTTTCCTCTACAATAGTCTTTCTATCTATAAACCTGCAAGTTACTATCCTAACCATGCCACCATTCTAATTGTACATTTTTTAATTGTACATCATCTTATTTTTGTTGTTGTTCCCTGTTTGATTTTTCTTTTTCCTTTTGAAAGAACAATTCTGGACCAGTATATAAACTTGTTATTGGAGTTACAGAGTCACAGGAGTGTAGGAATTAGCAAAGACTTCTGGAAGTCATCTATTCCAACTCTCTGTTAAACCAGGCTTCCTAGAGTAAGTTGCACAGGAAAATGTTCAGGTGGGTCTTCAGTATCTCCAGAAAGGGAGACTGTAATCTCTGTGGGCAGTGTGTTCTAGTGTTCAACATATTCTTATAGGAATTATTGTATTCTTGGGTGTAATGCTCAGGAATGTACTGGAGGCTACTAAAATGATTATATTTGTTGTCATCAGCTTTTCAAACCTCCATTTTTCTATTCATGACCTTTCTGTGATTATCAGAGGGTTTGCAAGCACTGTCAAGTCAGAGTTGGCCAATGAGATGGGAACCTTGCGTTACGCATACATCTGTGAATGTGTAAAGACTACAATATGCTATTACAAGATCTTATGGCTTTGTCTTGGTAGCCAGCAGCTGCAGTGCCAAGCATATTTGGCTTTGTGCAGTAGAAAAAGACTAACTGCTTGTGGATTAATTTTTCCTGGAATATCCTTGTTCAGTACATAAGCCATTTCAGATCCCAGGAAACTAACTGATTAGTAGAATTATTTTTATAACAATTATCATTAATGATGTCCATGCACAATATTTTTTAGTGAATTCTGTCTTTGGGCATAGCTGAGTGATGTAGTAATCCATCCAGAAAGGTAGCTTATTTGTAAAATCCTCCTGTGGTATGGCTACCATAAGCCATAAATTGTTTGCTCTCTCATATATTTCTTAGAACTTACAAATATGCTCCAGATGTTGAGTTGAGTGTATCTTGGTTGCGTTTCTTCTGTAGATCTGGAAGACTAGCTCTCACTGCTTTATTAAGTCCTAACAGTGGGAATTTTCACTATCAGAAGGATAACATGACTTCCTAGCATGCACAGTGTAAGCATCACCTTGTTCCTCTTGAAGTCCCATCCTACATCTTGAAGGAATCCCAAAATGTCTGAGCAGCATGAAAAATTTGGGTGTGTAAGGAATTAAGGCCTGGGATCCAGTTGACAGAACTGTTATTTGAGACATAAAAGGATTCTCTGATGGGAGGACAGTAAATGTTAGTCATAATATGTGATTTTATTAAAACCACTCAAAGGGCATCGGACAAATGGAATAAAGAAGCAAATACAAGAATTAGCAACAGATTTACAGAAGTTATGTAAATGGACATAAATGCCACAAAACCCTAGATCTTCAATAATTGTAGGAAACTTTAAAGGGTTGGAAATATTTTCCTGGAAATATGACAAATGGATGTCACAGGCCTGGGTGTTGGTGGGCATACCACACTTGCATAGATCATGCGATGTAGCAGTAAATTTGTCATGGTACTGTGTTTGTGTTACCTGGTGCCATAATGTTAACTCTCCAGTGTACCTCCAGCTACACCGGTCAGGCCATCTTGGAGGTTTGTTTCTGGGGCATCTGGAGTATTGTTGGGATGGGTGGTTGAGGAAGGGTGATGTTTTGAATAGGTAGTTGCTCACCAGGTCACGGAACAGTCTCTTGACACTGCTATTCTTTGCTGTCTGACTTCCTCCAGAAACAAAAGTGGAGATTTGTTACATGTGTTCCCATTTCACTACTGCATGCTAGCCCAAATTTCATATCAGGTATTACTTCCCTGAGGTTTGCATACTAGCATATCTAAATCTTGTTTCATTTTTGATTTTCTACTTTCAGATGCTCCTGAAAAGAAGAAAGTTAAAATGTGCTGGTATCATTAAAGATCAACAAAAATTCTTTTAGGTCTTAGCTTCAGCTTTATTTAACCCTAATGACTAGAGGGGGGGAAAAAAGCTCCTCCACAGCCATCAGGATAGCAGAGGTAATTTTAGTGATACACAAACCTGGAAGAATAGATATGAGGAAGCAATAAAAATATATTCCAGCAGTTTTTCCTCCATAGTGGATATACATCTGGTTAACAGGATCTCCCCAGTTCATAAATGATCTGTATGAAAGCATGCAACGAAATACAGGAGAAGATCAAGGAAATGCAGGAGCAGACTAGGGATAACATGACATGTCGTTGTGTTTTTTTTTTTTTTTTTTTTTTTTTGGAAGAATTTAAGAATAGGTTAGACATGTATCGTTAAGAAATCAACCAGGTATGAAGCAGTCCAATCCACTGCTGGAGAAATCACTTAAGTGGTCTTAGCATAGAACATCCACCTCTACATATTGATATGATTGCTAGCATCATAGTAGAATACTACAAATATACAATATCAGAACACTTGAAATATTCTCCTAATTTGAAATTCTGAACTTTTGGTATTCTTTGTCACTAATGCTTGGTCTTCTACGTTTCCAGTTCTTCCTAGTTTTTACCGTGAATCAAAGGAACTCCTCTAAGGCATAATTGCTCAATTATGACTCATAATAATGAGACTGCATACTAATAAAGCCTCCACACATTTTCAGTCTTTTCTTCCTAACTAATGTTTTCCCTTTCATGCTTTCATCTCATCTCCGTACTTGGTACTGTTACTCTTCATTTTTTTTAACATTCTCCATTTTCTCTATTTTTTTCTCTTGTAAAAAGTCCTTCTCTGTAACCAGTCTATGTAGCTTTTGAGTTGTTTGTTTCAATCATGCTTATCCAGGATAAAAGCAAATCTGAAGCTTTTGACATTTCATTTTCCTCCTTTTGTTAAAAAATAGTTGTTTGATACCAATATCAAAGATAAGGAGTTAGGATACTATTGGAATAATGCAGTATGGAAAAGGGCTATTGGCCAACCTGACTTGCAAGTTTCTCTATATACCTTAATATGAGATGGATTATACACTACCCAATTTGTGTCAGCAAAGGAATGTGAAGACACACATAACTGAAGAAAACAGAGCTTCAAGAGCATTCAGAAATCTGAAAGTGAGGCAGAATCATGGTATTTTCCCTAACAGGCTTACTTCAATACAGCAAGAGAAAGTCTTTCAACAGTTTGAAAAATAGACCTATGCATTTTGAATTTATCTGTGCTCTGTAAAATAAGTATTTCCATACCTCTGAATCTACACTCTGCCCAGTATAAATATTACTGTCAAGCACTGAGGAATAACCTCTTAATTGAGTCTATATCTGTGTGGCCATATCTATGTGACTTTTTTGTCTGATGTAAAAGCTGTAAAATCAGTAGCATAGTATTATGGCCAAGGCAATTTGTACTGCTGGGGTGTTGGTCCTTTGTGAAGAGTTTTGTGATTATTCATTGTTATCCTGTCACAGACTCCATAGCGTGTTTGAAGAATCATAGCATAATGCAAAGTTGTAGCTTTTCAGTGCTTTCTAAGTGATGTAGTAGTTAAAGATGGAAACTCATGATGATATTGAATCACTGTTGTCAGTAGCTGTTAGCAAATTAAGTCTCTGAGTTGATCAAACAAAAAGTCAATTTCAGAGTAAGGACAATGATGGAAGGAAAAAAAAACAAAAACCCTAGAAATTCCTTTTTTGGCATAAATTTTATGTTTAGGGTCAATTTAAATTTGCAACACAAGTGTGGGTTAGAAAATTACCAAAGTTTACAAAGGGATCATGTTGCCCATTGCCCTGCAGCCTGTTTTTGGGGAGTTTCATAGTATGAAACTTGAGCACATTGTCTACAGCATTAATGGGATTTCTCAGAATTTACAGTGTGCAGCAAGGCCGCTTCTTTCATGACAGTGGGATATTTAATTTAACTTCCAGTTCACTCTTATTTTACTGAGATTTTGGGACTTGATAGAGCGCAAGTTCTTAACAGCCTAAAGAAAAGTTGATGTGAGTGTCTTTCTTTACTTCTAAGTTGCCCAGTTACCCATTATTAACATTATTTGTTCTTTGATGTATTTGTATGATCATGGAATGGCCTGGGTTTAAAAATATCATAACAATCAGCTAGTTTCAATCCTTTTGCTGTGTTCAGGGTTGCCAACCTATTATTATCTACTTTAACACGTCAGCAGCAACCATCTAGTCTGATAGATGCTTTTTGTTGCTCATATGTTTTAAATAATGAATATAAATGTACCTTTCCTGTGTACAGCCATGTAACCTGCTATATATAAAGCATATATATATATATATATATATATATATAAAGCAGTGTTACCAGTTCATGCCTCTGCAACCAGTACATCAGAAGATGTACAAACAGGAAGAAACCAGACAATCAAGGTACAAACCTTAAGCCTTCATAATATTGTAGCTTTGCCAAGCTGAGAGCAGAAGACTTATAAGACGATGCCATTCTGACACTCTTTTCCCCGTCTTGATGATTATAGTGCTTGCAAGACTCAGTTCTAGTTGGCTAGTATTGTACTGAAGTGTGTGAGACTGGGAAGGATATTTAGGGAGATAATCCTTGTTTACCCTGAGTGTGACAGAAGAAAAAGTAATACAACAAATAACGGGGCTAGTGAAGTTCGATTTGCTATGCTTTTGTGTATGTCCCATTTTGTCCCATGGATAAAGATGGGAAAAGGAACTGTGCAAATTTTTTTTGTTTCATATTAGGTGTGCTGCTTTATGCATGGTTTATACTTTCATATTAGTGGCACCTCTTTCTCAGGGACTATACAAAATGTTTGTTAGCACCCTCTAACCTTCTGTCTCATTTGGTTGAGGTTGAAAAACAAGTTAAAAAGTTACCAGGAACAATGTTTTTTACTGATATCTCTAATACTTATATGATGGCCCTCCTCTTCATAAACAGTGATGGTCATGTGGAGGGCATGATCTCATAATTCTCATGTTCTTAGGAAATATGGCTAAAAATACCACACATTTCCACATGAATATTAGGCTTTGCCCAGGCCACAGCTGTCACTGGGACAAGAAGGGAACAGAACAAAGAGAGTATGGTGGGAATATGGCATGAAACTTCCCCCTGGGCTTATTTACATGAGCACAGTTTGTCCTCTGGTTGCACTGTTATTACAGATGTTCTATAAAATGGGCTTAAAGAAAGGGATGGAGATTTCTGTTGGGTTCAAAGCATTTGGACACTAGCCATGAGAGCGGAGCTGCAACAGGCTTAGTGACTGAGGTAGAGCTAGGCACTTCTCAGTCAGCTTGCAGCAGCCATCATCTGTTGCGTCCCCTGTCCAGCTGGCACTTGAAACCTGTGTGTGTGCAGCAGAGCAATATGGCTGACATAGCCATGTGCTGAACATGTGTCTTGTGGCTGTCTTGCTGTAGTGTGGACATTACATTTGTACCCTGTATTTGAGAGTAAAGTGGTCCTGCATTTCTGTAAAGTAGTAATGTCACTGCACTTAGTCTACCATTAATCTCCAGTGGCCCACAAGACAAAAGAAAGGAAAAACGGCTGGCAGCAGATGACTCTGTTTTACCTTTCTGTGAATGGTAGAAGAGACTGAGAAAACAATTGAGCATCTTTCCCAAGGCATGGATAAACTACCTAGAGGGTACCTGTTTGGTACAAAACAAGTTCAAAGAGAAAAGTGGAGAGCAACGTCTTAGTGCCAGTAGCCTTGCTTAAAGTCTTCACAGAGCTAAATGATATGTCAGAGAAGCAAAATTTGTTCATGATTAAACAGTATCAGCTTTTAGAGGAGAGTCAACAGGCAACTCAGCTGTAATGCAAGAGACAGAGTTAACTTGCTGTCAGTTAAATCAAAGCACAGAGCCATATAAAAAAAGTACAAAAGAGTGACTTCCTCATTAGGATCTTAGAGGAATGAAGAGCATTGTTTAATAATGAAGACAAGAAACAAAAGCAAAATAAAAATAAAAAATTAGGCAAGAAATTTCTCTAGAAAATAGTGAGCTGTAAGTCTCCTAGTCTCCTGCATCACAGATATTTGTAAATGCTTTCATAAATAGTGGCACCTAGTTTCATTTGATGAAATCCATCTTTTAAGGTGAATCTGCTCAACCAAAAGGACAGTTACATCTCTTGGGAAAGCTGAACAATCTGTTGTGAAGGACAGCCCTTGTAATTTGGTGATGCATTTCAAATATTTAAATATCCAGGAGTGAAACTAGCATTTGGTGTTGAAAAAATTCTGGCCATGACTCAGTAAAAAAAAAAAAAATGTTGAAGATGGTTTTTCACTTCAGAGGCAGCTGAAGTCCTGGCTGAGGTCATGACTGTCGTAGTTGTCTTTCCAGCCTTAAAAGTATTACACTTCTAGGTCTAGGGTTCCCAACACAAGAGTATAATCAGTGAGTATACAGATGTATAATCAACAAGCAGAGAAGTTAGGCAGGTCTTCAGGTGATCAATCAGAGGTTCAGGCCATGATTTAATAGTTCCCATACAACAAGAAAGACGTGAAAGTTGAAAGAAGATCATAGGGTAGGAGCAGTTCTCCTGTGAAAAAAGGCTGAGAGACCTTGATTTGTTCAACCTGGAAAAGAAAAGGCTCCGGGGAAACCTCACTGCAGCCTGCTTGAGGGGATCTTATAAACAGGAAGAAGGCTGCCTTTGTACCTGGCAGTCTTATATGGCATGGATATGAAGAGCACAAGGTGGAATGGCTTTAAACTAAAAGAGGGGAAATTTAGGTAAGATGTTTTGGAAAAATTTCTCTCTCAGAGGGTGGTAAGTTGCTGGAACAGGCTGGCCCTTAGAGGTTGTGGCTGCCCCACTTCTGGAGGTGTTTGAGGCCAGTTTTGATGCAGCCCTAGGCAATCTGATGTGGGTAACAAACCTGCCTGAGGTAGGAGCGTTGAAAGATTCCTTCCAACCTAAGCTGTTCTATAATTCTATGATCCTATGATAATGCAACTGACAGACAGGAGTGATAGAAAGTTGTATAGCAAGCTTTGTACCAAGCCCCACAGTCTCTGTCTTTCATCATCTGAAAAGCATTCATAGACTGATGTATTTTTCATATTGTCAAATTCTTGTCTTTAGTTTAGATCCTACATGAGACAACATCTTCCATGTCTCTGATCTACTTTCCCTCTTCATGGTGTATCAGCATTCACAGCCTCACATCTCTTTAATTATGTTCTCTCACAATAAACTTATTGTTTATGTATATGTTTTCAGAATAGTTTTGTCCCCTCATTCCTACAGACATATCAACTCAAAACCATTGTTACACTATCATGGCAGACACAGCTGCAATTTCACATGTCCATGATTTCCCACCCTTTTTTTTTTTTTTTTTTTTTTTTTTGTGGTGGTCTGTTTTAGTTCTGCATTCACTACCACTGTAGAGATGGTTTTTGTCTGGGTTTTGGGAAATGGACAGGGTGTGGAAATGTTACAGCTCTTGCTGTACAGATTGTGGAAACACAATGGAAAAAAATGGGTTGAGCCCTCAGAGGGGCAATGGAGCTTCACTGTCCTTGTTCAGTTGGAGTATTTATGTTGCCTAATATCCGACCACTAAGTGTCCAAATTCTTGTGACTCCTTAAGTTGCAAGAAAGAGAGAATTGCCTCTGCAAATAGTGGTTCAGGATACATCCTGCTTTGAATTCCTCTGAAAGAATACATTTATTTCTATTCAGTATAGGGGTTGTAGGCTCCTTACTTAGGCATTTATGCTGTTGACTTCAGGTGAGCTGATGCAAATATCTTCATGGCAGCCTAACAGTTTTATGAGCTTATAGGTTCAGTTGTTTTGGGGCTAAGGGAGTTGGCTAGTCACACAGTGGAAGCCACATTCATTCCTATTACAGTATGTCTGAGATCTTGAGGTCACTTTCCTGTTCTGTATTGCAGTTTGTCTGGGTGCAGTGGTGCAACTTTTCCTTGTAAATTGTTTAGGCACAAGAATCTGCTGTTTTGGAATGTTGTGTAAGTTACATAGTACATAAGGTATAACAAAATGGTTACTGATAATAATAGAAACACTGCACACATTATTTGCCAGAAAACCAGATATCATGGCTATAGAAAAAGGTAGAAGATCTACTTATCTCTTGGTAAGAACTTTTAATTGAAAATGAAGAACTGGCATGGTATGAAAAATGTGTATGTTGTAGCAATTCTTTCTGATGTTTTGGATGTTTTTGAGGATAGAAGTGTAAACTGAAAATTTGTTTTTCTCTAAATTGGTCAGAAGAAGAAACATGGAACAGTACCTCTGAAGTTCCAGGAGAGTGGTAAAAAGTGCTTTGATCTAACTTCAACCTGCTTCTGTAATTGTGTATCAGTATCGCTCTAGTCATACAGCAGGGCCTAAATAAGTGGGAGGAAATAAAATAATGACGATGCTTTCATCATGTTCAACTTAAAAACAAAAATAAACTGAAATCTTTTCATTTCAATTGCCTTTTGATATTTAGTTTGATTATTTGATTAAAAGATTCTAGGTTGACTCTAATAGTGTTGTTACTTGGCATTGAAAATCCTTTGTAGTAATGAGAGTAGCAAAAGAAGTAGCACAGATAAGAGTGCATACAATGTCAGAAGCTAGCTTTAGTACAGAGGTAGAGATGATTATTATGAAAAGAAAGCATATATGAATTTTAAATGATTGCTTTCTTGCCCTTGAGTTGAATAAATGTTTTCATTGTAAAAATTTAGTTGTATAAATGCTTCCAAGTTGGGATATTTTTCACTGTTACCACTTTTCTCAGTATTTTCTGGAAGTTTGTTTGTTCAACTGACTGCAGTAGACTTTATATAAATGTAAAATAGATGTTCCTGCAAAATCAGATTCCTTATTATTCAGATGAACTCACCTGCAGGACCAATGGGACTGAAACATCTACTCAGTGTTAGGATTTAAAAAAAAAAAAAAAAAAAAAAAAAAAAAAAAGAGGAAAGAGAAAAAAAAAATACAGAAGTGGAATTTCTGTGAAGCACATGCACCTACAGCTGAGCTAGTCAGTGTTCTGTGATGGCTGCTTCCTTGTGATTTCTGCTTTCAGCTTGGTTTCCCTGGGAACACTGAGAAACAGTGTTGTGCTGTCTAGAGGCTTGACAGTATTCCTTTGAGATATAAATGTGTTCACCTCCAGAGATAGCTGATATCTGTTGGCCTACCTCACAGAAAGATTTAACTTAGAAGAAAAAAGCCTCACCCAGTTCATCATATGGCTCTACCACTCAGATTGTTTTGTTTTTTTTTTCTGCTTGGTTTGTAATGCAAAGTTATAAAAGAAGGCTCACAAATTCTATTTTTGTGATTAACCATTCCCGGAAGTAGGCTTTTTTTTTTTTCCTGCTAAACCCAGAAGTGATTTTTTTACAATATTTGTTTTAGTTTCTTTTGCCAAATGAAAACAATGAACAACCCCCCAAAATCATTGCCAATAGACTAAACTTCTCTATTCTAACTTGAGTAAATATGTTGGATGTGAAAATAAACAGAATCACTTGCTGCCATTGAAGCCTTGTTAGAGCATGTATGAAAAGTGTTATTTCTAAGGGATTAGAGAATACTGTTTTATTTAAAACTACCATTAGGTATGATGCAATTTTTCCTTCAAGTAACCTTTGTTCTCATAAAGACTGGCTATTCACAGTCATCAGGTTGTGGCAACACCACTGGTTCCCTATCCTGCTGGTGCACAATAAATTCTAATCTGTGCTACAAACAAAGCAAGTTTTACTTGCATCCCTGAACTTACTGGAGTTCCAAGTTCTTGAGGCAGAGTTGCCAACAGAGTTACTGACATGAAGAATGATGCTCATGCTCATTAAATCTGTCACTAAAACCAGAGTTCGCTTGGAACAAGACTGTTTATGTTTGTGTGGAATGGACATCTGAACTGAAATGGCAAAAGCTTCTTAGATATTGAGCATTCTGAGGCCTGCTGAAGTCCCTAGAAGTTCTGAGTGATAAATACTTCATGCAAGCACTGAAAAAAGATTATTGCAAAACCTACTGAAGTCTAAAGACTCCTTTATTCCAGCAGGCATCAGATCAAGCCCAGTGTGAATGAGTATCAGAGTATGTCTACATAGACTTTTGCAGGCAGAATACCAGTTTCTCAGCCCAAGATTGGAGCCAGCTGGATGTATGACAGCTCTAAACTGGAAGCCATGTTACTGCATTTAGTGTGGAGCCCAAACTAAAGCCCCCGCTGAAAGACAGAAAATTATCAATTTGTGCTAAGCAGCATGCTCATCCAAGGATGCGTAGAGTGAATGCACATATGCTCAGAGTGCAGACAGAATGATTTCATGCTTGCATGCAAAAGACCACGTAGAAAAATGTCCTGAAAGGGGAAATGCATCTAAACTCTGATGTGAACATTTATATGTTCTCTTTTGTGGACTTAGGAAAACTGAGGAAAAGAGGTAGATGGACTTTTTCCTAACACAATTTTTCCTGGTTTGTTTCATTTCAGATGGAGAGACAAGAGATAGCAAGAGAGGCCTGCAGATAAAAAGAAAAAATATTAATTAAACTAAATTCCAAAGCCACAAAATGATTGACTTTCACTGGCATGAGCTTTGCAAGCCCCAAAACAATACTTTAAAGTGTTTAATTTTTTCACATCAATTTTAATTAAGCTCTCATTAGGCTCTTGTGCCCCTAGAATTTGGCAGACAAAAGAAGCTAGCTTGCCCAGCGAGTTTCCCAAGCTTGCACAGATCTATTCCTAAGGAGATTTATCGCATTTTTTTCCTCCCCTTGAAAGAACCTTACATGAACCAATTCAAATGAAAAACACATGGACTAAAAAAGACTTCATCATGCCAGATACCTTTTTATATCCAAAGCAGTGAACTTGTAGTCAGTTTGTCCTTTCATGTGTTGTTTTTTCTGGCTTTCGGACCTAAGAATGATTTTTTACTACGTGCAGTAGTAAAACAACATATTATGCAATTCTATTTTTCAAGGAGAACACTATGTAATTCATAGGCTTTGCAATGCCACATTTTCTGTTCAACAAATACATAAAGTGACTTCTTTTCCCCTTATGGGGAGACTTCAAGAAATTTATATTCAACAAATGGTATTCCAGTTTACCTAACTTGATTTTTTTGGAGTTTTAACTATTTCAGAAGTGATTGTATAGTGTGAAAACAAGCAGCTTACAAACTGCATTTTCATCTCTGATTTTGAAGAACTTAGCAGGTGGGACAGGTGAAAACAGAACATGACATGACCTGGTCGCAGCTCAATGGATCTGACAAAAGAAAGGCCTTTCCATAAAGTCCACATCATGGATTAGCTTTGTTAAAATAATTTGCCAGAAATATACTCACTGGCTTTAAAGATGGTAGCATCTTCCAAAGAAAGCTTTCATAACACTTTTGTTTTCTTACAGCCAGTCTACAAAAGAAGGGTTGGTACAATTACTAAGAACATTCTAAAAATTGCTGTCTTTAGCTTCAAATAAACAGCAGTAATTCCAGAAGCTTAGCCCTCTAATCCACTTGTTTATTTATTTGATGTCTTGTATCTCTTAAATACGCAATAGTCAATGAATAGATAGTGTTATATTTCCAGGCTCACATCCTGATGGGTTATTTTAACCACACAAATATGTGCTGGGGAAAACAATATGGGAGTCTGCAAGCAATCCCAGAGACTTATGGAGCATGCTGAGTATAACTTCTTGGTCCCGATATAAAACAAATTGAAAAGAGGAGAGGCATTACTGCTTCTCCTTTACTTAGTGCTCACCTTCTCATTAAAGAAATTAAGATTAGAGGCAGCCTGGTCTGTATTAACTGTGCCCTACCAGAGTTTGTGATTTTGAAGAAGATGGACTCGTTACATTTGTCAGAAGAGGCTGGCCAAAGAAAATGTACCCCATCTGATAAATGAGAAGGGAAAACTGGCTATGACAGATATGGAGAAAGCTTAGGTATTCAATGAATTCTTTGCCTCAGCCTTCTTGAGCAGCCAATCTTCTCATATCCCTCACATCCACATCTCATGTGCTTGAACATGGTGATGGTTAGGGGAGAAAAATCACTCCGCATCAAGAACAGGCTGAGAGAATTAGGGCTGTACAGCCTGGAGAAGAGAAGACTCTGGGGAGACATGAGAGCAGCATTTTAGTATCTAAAGTGAGGCTGTAAGAAAGAAGGGGGCAGACTGTTTAGCAGGGTCTGCTGCGATAGCATAAGGGGAAAAGGTTTCGAAGTAAAAGAGGAAGGATTTAGGCTGGATATAAGGAAGAAGTTTTTTACGCTAAGGGTGGTGAGACACTGGCATAGACTGCCCAGAGAGGTGGTGGATGCCCCATCCCTGGAGCCATGACTCCCTTCAAGGTCAGTCTGGATCAGTCTCTGAGCAACATAATTGAGATACAGGTGCTCCTGTTCATTCTATTAGCTTTTAAAGTTCCTTCCATCTGAAACAATTCTATTATGATAATAACTCTACACAGTTCATATCTGCACTGTCAAAGCTGCACATCTATTTGGCAGTTCTGAATGTTAAGGGAGGTGTCTTTAATAATGTAGTTTAATAAGAAGCCAGTGTTATTACAGAACATATTTGAAATCCTTACTGTTGGGAAGGTTATACCTTTATTCTTCATGGTCTCATGTGAACCTAGTGTCTCTGTAGCCCCAGAGCCACTCTTGGATTAAATACTTCTAGACTGAAACTGTTGGATCTTACAGCATTTTTTACCTTAATCACGGACAGATGCCAGCTGAGGCAGGTCTGTGCTCAGACACAAGAAGGAAGGAGTGCTAAGCATACTTCAGTTTGTGGCAGAGAAGTGAATCCCCAGTGTGTTTTTTGTCTGTTATTTCATTACTTTCAGTAATGGTCTTACAATAAATAAATAAATTACATAAGAACAGATATGGCATGAGATGAAAAAGATACATATCGCTTTGCATTTGCCTTTGTCCTTGTTATTGGGAAGGACAAATGTAACAAGGTGGCTAGCAGGAAGAGGGGATATAATGGGATTGAGTAATCTTCTGAGAGGACAAAGATGTATTTCACTTGTACTGTCCCCTAATGATGTACTCATGTTCTTTCATCTCTTATCCTTAATCCCTCCAATTCAGATGGAGCCTGTAACTTCTCTTGCAAGCAGACCTTCCTTTCTGAGGGATTCCTCATACCCGTTCTGCTCAAGGGCTATTGCAGGTTCCCAGTTGGAGATTTTTCATGTTTCCTATGATAATTCAGTCTCATGGATGCCTGTGGCATTTAGTAATGAGAAAAGCATGCCAAGGTTGTTGTCCAAGTGAAGTTAATGATTTAAGATATATCACATTAAGGTGTTATTAGATGCTTCAAAGTATTCTATGCCATGCATACACGAGGTAAGAAGCCTCCTGGCATTATATCAGACTTCACTGAGCTGCAGCATTTTAAATCATTTGAAATGCAAATATTCTATGTATTATGACTCACTCTTTTTACCACAAGTATCAGTGTCTATTTTGATCAGAGAGGAAGCTATTTGAGCTCCGTTGTCTTTCAGGGTTCAAATAGGAAAGGTCGAGTAGTTTAGGAAATAAATATGGAGATGCAGAGAAACTGGTACATCTTTACATCCTTTCATTGCTGCTACACTTCTTGCTATCTCTAAGAACTGGGAAGTGTGTTTTCTTTATAGGTTTTTATTACATCCCCTTCACTGTGATACATGTCTATGATTTTGGGAGGCAAAATGGGAGGATCTTTTGAAATGAATAATTTATTCAGTCACATTTTTATGTCTTTGTGTTATAAAGATCTCCTTACTCTTTCAGATTATTTGGGAATTAATCTGAGTACCAAAGAAGAGTGACTTATGCTCTACATATTCTGTACACTATTTGTTTTGAACACTGATAATGTGTAAGCTATCTAGTATCTTGCCCAGACATGTTATAATTCCTTTTCCCTGACTAATTGAGCATGATTTCTTTGATCAGTCTGCTGCTCTGAAATCTTCGTGTGAATTTCAGCTTCACTTTCTGGAAATATTTTGCAATATTTAATTAAAATTTACAGTGAACATATCTTTTTGCAAGCCAGATTACGAGAATACTTTTTGGGTGAGACTACATGGAAGCAGTATGAATAATTTAATTTGACAAGTCAGAAAGTTTTTCATGGAAAATCGAAATTTTTTTCCTACTCCTACTTCTCCACGGTGCATGTACACTGTTGATGTTAGGTACTCAATACCTTAATTTACTTTCTAAGTGTATTTCTGAGTAGGTTTTTTTTGTTCACTTTTTTTTGGTTTGTTTTTTGTTTTTTTCTTTTGGCCATTTTCTGGATCTTAAAAAAATATTCTAATTTAATTGTAAAGAAATTGAAAGAGTTATTTAGACAGTACCTCTTTGTAACCTTTCATTTGACACACAGTGAAAAAATAATGGGGATGGTAAAAGCGCACTAGAAATATTACATGATTCAGACAGTCATGTAATATTTGCATTGCAAATCCTACTTCACATTTGCCAGGGAATTCACTGAAGACTGTTCTAAAACAACTGCCTATATAATAGCTATCATGTGCAACACCAAGGAAAGGAATGAGACAGACAGAATTGGGAAATGTTAATTGTTGACACATGGGTTGCTCCTCAGCAGACACGTTATCTGTCAGTGTAACCCTGAGGGCTGGAATAGGCAGGAAGCCAGTTTCTCATAATCAAGGAAAGTGCGTTATTCTTTCCTTGATACAGCTTGGAGACTTCGTTTGAAGCTGATCTTATGTCTCTAGGAAGCTAGAAGAAATGGAAATAAGATCAAGAAACGCCTTTGCCTAGACTGCCAGTTTCACCAAAGGAGAGAAGTTCACTCTTCATCTCTTAGGCTGACTGGGCTGAGTAGGTTGCTGCACTGATGCCCTTGTTCTGAAATGTGTTTTCACAGCTGATGTCCAGTGACCACACTAAGAACATGGCTGGAGTAATTCCAGACTGGTAAATTTCAGGGGCTGTCATATGAAGGGGATAGTAAACCTTTTCCCCCAGTAGACAGATAAAAATATACAGAGAAAACACATGGTTTTCATTTGCCCAGTCTACCTTATTCAAGCTGAGTTCATTCTGAACTAGATGACCACTTCAGGTGGCTAGAGGGAATAATTTCATTGTGCAAATTCCCTGTTAAGGCTTTCCAGTTATATTTTGTGTGTGAAATAACAGTACATCTGTGTTTAATTTTACCAGTTTTCCATACATCATAACCTCAGAAGAACCCCTCAACATCATGCAAATTAAAAGCAAGAATTCAGATGATTTGCATACATGTTTTTCTGGGTTAGACATTACATTGGAATGCATTGGCAGTGAGTGGCTGTGACTAATGTAACAGAGCCTTACATTTAACATACTGCATTATACAGTTTTGTGCACAGTAATGTAATAATTAGTTTGTCAAGACACATTTCATTTCAGATTTAAATATGTTGCTCTCTGCTGGTCAGTTCTGTGAACTACACATTTGTTTAACATTAAAACTGTCCATTCAAGTCGCCCCAGAGGTGAGACTTCAGGTCCCGTTGCACAGATGAAATCCAGGCAGAGTTTTTTTGTGTGTGTGTATGTGTGAGAAAAAGATGTACATGCAACAATAAATCACACTGATCTCATTCCTTCTTTTCCCTGGATAAGTTAGTCACAACAATTCTTAGTTCTCGTTCTACAAAATGCTGCCTGGCTTAACCATTACTCCATCCTGTATTTGGAACTTTTGCTCCAGTTTCTCTAGCAAAGCCTGACTGAGATTTAGAAAGTTCAAGTGAAGTGCCAAGGTGCTCAGCATTTTCACAGGTGCAATCCTCTATACTGTACGTATTATAAAGTTTAGGCATGTTTTTTTTTTTAGTAGAAGAGAGAAGTTTCGGTTCATTTAAGTCCTCTTTAAACACCAGTTAACTAAGTTCATGGGATCTTCTATTATCTTAAAACAGATTAAAAGGAGCCTAGAGGCAATACAATTAGACCATGCAAAACATTTTGTAGTGCAATACAAAGAGTAATTGTTTTTCTCTGTGCTTCTACTTGAGCCACTGCACGAGGCTGCAACTTGTACACAGATGCACAACTTCTGATAGATATTACTTTTAAGCTATTTCCATCTGCGTAGTTAGAATGCATATTGTAACTGTAGTACTTGTAATGTTCTCTTGTTGATTAAGTGAAATACAGTGACAGTTATCACAGCCAGTTTTTAGTTAATCAAAGGTATAATTATTGGATAATATAAATATTCAATTTTGATTTTTTTTTAAATCTTGAATTTGTAGTGAATTCTAGTATTTACTTCAATTCTGTACTTTAGTGTTAAAACTGTATGAATTATAGTCTAATCTTTTCTTTCTTTATGTTCCGAAGTACTGAGAACATTAAGATCCAGATCCTTCGTATCTGATCCTATTGAGGTCACTAGCAAAAGCTCCTTGCTGAGTTTACTTCATCACAGATGTTTGTTGTGTGGATTTGCAGAAGTCTTCAAATGCTTCTTGGTCTATTTTTCCTTCCCAACAGACAGTTCCTTCAAGTCTTCTGAGTTTAATTTTAATTATATACTTTGATTGCTGCCATAAAACAAGTTAGTCTTGGCATAGATTGTCATAGATTGTCAGGAAACATTTTATATGAAGAATTGACACACAAGCAATACATGATATTGCTTAGGAAAAAGTTGTTCTGCAGTTCTTACCAGTTTGAAATCATTGCCAACGTTTTCCATATTGAAAAATCAGGGCTCAAGAATAAAATATATCATAAGTGATCGACAATATCTACTCACAGCAGACAAAGAGTTTATTTTGGGTCTGTAAAATAGGGGCACTTTGGTATAAATGCAATACATTCATTATGTGATAAATCTCAAATCAGGACAGAGTGCTTGCCACGCAGCTTTACTTTAGCACCGCTAAAATGCAACTCAATGGGAATTTTGAAAGAGATTTTTCTAAGAACCCAGGTAAAATGATTTTAATATTTTAATTCATGATTTTTTAAGGTATTCTGAGCCATTTTGTTCTTAAAGTAAAGCAAATTTAAATGAATGAGTTCAAAAAGTGACATCCAGATTTTTATGCCCCATATTGAAAAACCTATCTATCTGCTTAGAATGCAGGGGTAAACTTTGTCTTTATCCAGACTTATCCAGAAGAGTTTGCTTCAGAAATAAACTATACTTCCTGAAGCCTTTCTTGATGTAGCTAATTAGTAATAAAACACAGATAAAATCTATGAAAGGGACACTGCATAACTACCATTGTACCTTCTAATATAAATATGTTGAACTGGATTATAGCAGCACAATAACATTTTCTTTTTAAAATTATAACTACATGAGAAAACTGGTTAAAAGGAAGTTCAAAAGGAGCAGCTAAAAGGACAATTTTTTAATAGCTTACATGGATAATGTTTAAAACCACCACATCAGAGAAACACTGCTAATTAAACAGAACCATTCAATTAAAGCCCAACTACAAAAGTCCAGCTTCGTAAAGTAAAATGAAAGATTAAAGTAGCTGTAAAATAGATGTCCTCCCAAAAAGGTGGAAATCACATCCCAGTGGGAAATTTAGACGAGTATGAGGGCTGCTTCAAAAGTAGTGCCTCTTTTTAATTATGTTGTCTCACATCATCAGAGATGGATGTAGGTGGTATGGCAGTAGAGGTTGAACCATCCCACCAACATTTCATTACATTCTGTTGTAATGTGGCAGATGGCAGCAGAGGCAGTCTGATAAAGATGACGTCTGACATGGAAGTGTGTGTGAAGCACAATTGTGTCACTGAATTCTTCCATGTGGAAAATATTGCACCCACTGAAATTCATTGAGGTATAATGAGCATTTATGGATACCAAACAGTTGATATGAGCACACTGAGGTGGTGGGTGGTATGTTTAAGCAGTGATGAAAGCACTGTGAAAGACAAGCCATATTCTGGATGGCCATGCACAACTATAATGCCATGAAAGAAAGAGTGTCTGAGTCAGATTATCCACACAAATTGGTGGATTACAAAAATGAAATTGTTTTTAGAAGTAAATATCAACTTCAGTGCACAGGAAACAGTGGTGACATTGGAATTATGCAAAGTTTGCACCAGGTGCATCCAATGGATGCTCACACAGGAACAGAAAGAACACCATATGCAAGTTTGTTAGGACTTATTGAACCGATATGAGACTGAAAGTGACAATTTCCTGAATTGCATCATTGCTGGTGAAGTGATGTGGTGTCACCACTATGAGCCGGAGTCAAAACAGCAGAGCTGACATGAAAATTCTCCATTGAAGAAGATAGTTCAAGATGCAGCCCTCAGAAGGTAAAATGATGTGCATTTTCTTTTGGGGTAAGGGGTGATCCTTCTGGATTTCCTGGGACCTGGACAAACCATCAGCTGATCACCGATCACTACATTGGGACACTAAGCTGAAGGCTCAAACTTACAGAGCCAGACCAGAGAAGATGACAACCTTTCTATTGCAACCCAATAACTCCAGGCCCCATACCTGTTTGAAGATTGTGGAGCACACTGACAGTTTTGGCAGGTCTGATCTATTACACCTGCACTTACGAATTTGGCACCTTCTAACTTCCATCTGTTCAGGCCAATGAAAGGCACACTATACAGACAATGTTCTCCTAGCAGTGATACCATCATAGCAGATGTGAAACAGTATGTCATCTCTGCTGGTGCAGATTTTTTTATGACTGCTAGTGGAAATGGCTAATGGTGGTGACTGTAGAAAAATAGCGTTTTGTAGCTGAGAATTTGCTCTATCAAATAGTTTTATTGTACTCTTTGCATATGTTGTAGTTTCCATGAAAATAAATAGGAGGCGTTAATTTCTGAGGGACCTATGTACATAAACTTTACCAAAGAAAGAGTAAAGCAATATTAAAAGTGTCCAAAAAAGACAGAGGTGTAATTGTTAAAAATTGCAGTTATTGTGAAGTTGTGAAGAACAGTGAATCTGGCAGAATCTCTCCGGCTTATTAATGGTTAGAGTACAAAACAAATTCTTCAATAATGAAGCTATATGGAAGTTTTTTACTGAAATTTTCCATTGTCTATTATGATAAAGAATCTGATTTGGACAAAAGCTAAGAGCAGAGGAGAAAATCAAGATGCCACTTTGAATGCATATATAACTTGAATACAATGTGTAGATCTGTTTTTTTAGTGCACTAGAATTAGAACTAAAGCAGATGAAGTCGACCTAGAAAAGATAGAGAGAAAAGCAAGAGTAACCAGATGTTTGGAATAATTTTCACACAAAGAGAGAACAAACAAAATAAATTTTCAATGTAGAAAAGAAATATCTATAAAAATATGAACAATGAAATAATAAGTAGAAAAACTGCCGAACCTTTTATTTTGCACAGGAATATAGGGATGCAGAAGTTTCAAAGCTATGAAACTAAATAGCTTTAAAAATACATTCTACCTACTCAAATATTTATGTTATGCAACTCATTGATACATAATATCATAGATGTCCATGTAAGTTCAGAACCAAGCAAACAATGTTAACAAATAAATATTCAAAGGGCATATGCTAATTAAACTTGACAGTCTATATCAAATCATCAGTTGGGGAAGTCCATAAACTTAAAGAATATGTAAAGCAGGAGAAATACAATTATGCTAATAACTGTATCGATCTTTTAATTTTCCTTTATCAAGTCATCAATTTCTTTATCATTAACAGCAGCAGGTCTATTAGTGATCAACACATCTGTTCTCCTGTGTGTATGTTGCTAAGAATACACACCAGCAAAAATTTTAATAGATATACAGAAAATCTGGATATTGCCAAAGTTGGAATGTTTGATTGTGTTTAATACTGATGTCATATTTTTCCTTCATCTACAGCTTTCCTCATCATTTTGCCACAAAGATAAAAACCTCACTCAGTAAATGTCAACTATGCTTCATATAACTACGAGGATTTGACTTGTTCTTGCTTTTTTTCTATTCATCTTGCTTTAAGTGGGATTTTTGCCTTAAATTTCTGTTTCCTGGCTGAGTCAATCTACTTTCCCATCCAGAAATCTTCTTTTAGTGTCTTGCTGAGGTAGCTTCTAACAAACTCTTTTGGAGGACACATAGATCCATAATTTATATGTTATGGTCAACGTTAAGTCTAACACAACTTCAGCTCAAGCCTTGCACACTGATCTGTTTCCCACTGTTAACCTATAAGCAGCTGGAAAACTTGTCCTTGTGCCCACTAAATAATATATGTCAAATTTTCATTCTCTGGGAAATCACTACCTAACTTTTGACTTCACCAAGGCTTCTGCATTCCTGGAGCAGGAGAGAGCCCTCCACCTGGCAGGGTTTTTGCCAGGGTTGTGACCATGAACTCATTGCTTCAGACAACATCTCTCAGATCTATTTAAAGATGTTTGCAGTGTCTAAATACTGATTTTTACTTTTTTTTTTTTTTTTTTTTTTTTTTTTTTTTAATGCATGAGAATGTGCAGATTTCTCATAGGCTTAATCCTTTTCTCCCTCCTCTACTTGCTTTCTTCTGTCCTTGAATGAGTTTTGTACAATGCATCTGATACGCTGCTTGACAGTCACCATTGCATTTCCTGGCCAGGCATCATATCTTCAGGCACTTATGACATTGGGCCATTTTCTGCTGACAACCTGATGTAAAATGAGCTCCTTCACATGGAAACAGCCCTCAGGAGAGCAAGTTCCTTCCAACTGGCTTCATTTTTTGTTTACTGAAGCAGTATGATTGTCTCTGTGTTATACTCACATATCTTGTAATTTTTCAATGCTGCCTCTATTATTTTGGGCAATTTCAATGTTTTGGGTCAGGTTAAGTTCTCTGCTGCCAGCAATCAGCCTTTGAATTCTCTTCTTATTAATACCATAAACCAACTTATATTATAGCATGCCCTCTAGAACATTTCTAAATGATCAACAGTTAGTTAGCCTTCATTCTACCACACAGAGTTGCAGTTTCTTTTTGCCTCTCATTTTATTACGAAATTTAACACATCCTACAGAAACACTAAGCTATCCTGAGTGAACTTGTAAGATCTTTTGCAAGTCCTCTAAATTGTTACTGCAGAAAACAAGGCTAGGATAAAGCTTGTCCTGGGGCATCCTTCTGCTGGGAGACAAGAGCAGTTTCACCTGATTGAGCTGTTGTTTTTCTGAGACTGTAACAAACTGTGTAGGAGGAAGTTTTACTGCTATTGATTAAAAGCTTTTCTTTATCTGTAAATCTGGTGTACAAGAATAGGGCAATCACAGCTTGCATAATTTGCAGCCAGACTTTATTTGCTTCACTGTCTGTGTTCAGTCTTCCTAAAAAAAAAGACTATTCTTACGATTCTTACTTCCACTATCCAGGCCAGCTTTAAAGTGGGATCAATAAGTTATAGTCCAAAACTGTAGGTTAGATGTCATACAAAACCTGGCTGCTCCATTTGCTTACCTATAGGAACAAGTTTGCTGCTCCTGAATCCTGTGTGGTTAATGGTGATTACTTCAGAATCCCAGTGCTGGTGCCTTTCAGACTCAGCTCTGAATGTAGCATCAGTATGTCCCTCTCTTGGCAACTCTCCTTTTTGGAAAGGCAAAGAATGCTTTAGTCACAGAGGAGATAGATGCAACTGGGACAGAAGCTTGGATGACCTGATTGTCATTGCCCAAGCTGGGTGCCTATAACAGTTGCAAAAATCAACCACAACAACAACTTGATTGCTTTTAAATTTCTGCTCTCTGCACTATTGTGAGCAGACTGTACATTTGGCTGGATAATTTTTGTATCTTCTTTGGCCTTGGCTTTTTCAGCTTCCCTTTAATGAGTCAGAGAGGTTTTAGCAAGGTTTTTGTATCTGGTATCACAGATGTAATACAGAACTCTAGGGAGATGACATATTTTGGAGCTGATTTAGACTTGGCTTCTCAGAGAAATGTTTATTGTTATGGTTTTACTTTGTAACTTAATACCATTTTCATATTCAGCTCTGAACTGCACAAATACTAATAAGCAAAACTTTTTGACCTCAACAAGAGATGCAGTGTTAGCAACATTTTATGTACAGCAGAGTTAAAGGATAAAGCAGTGAAAATAATTTGCTCACAGAGTTCATACTAACCTGGATTCCCTGTTGACCATCATCCCTGCACTCTGTAGGTACCTTGCAGCTGTTTGAAAAGCCTTGCCTCCTAGAAGATGGTGCTATCAAACTGCGTTAGGGAAAGTGGCAGATGCACTACAAAATCTCAGACCTGGACAGATGAGCCTTTGCCTTATTAATGATGAAGAACTCCCATTCTATGCTGTTCTTCTCACTTTGCACATGGAGTATGCATGCTGAATTAAATGCTAATTAAACAAAATGTCAAGATTCTGCATTAGAATTATTCATCTTACATGACTCAGTAGATCTAATTTTGAAAATTCATTATTATGAAAAAACAGAGTTCCTACAGGAGTGAAACTAGAACCAGCTGTATACAACATCTTCATCAATGACTGTAGAAGGGAATACCCAAGAAAACCGCCAAGCTTGCAGCTCATGTTAAGCTTTTTGAGATCAAATGCCCCACTTGTAGTGAAGAACCTCACTGAACTAACTGAGTGGGTAGGCTGGAGGTAGGGATGGAACAGCAGTGTTGAAAACATTAGGTTGGGCATCAAAGGAACAGTAGTTGAAAACATGCTTATTCAATGCTAAGTTTCAAACAGGCAGCTACAATTCCAGAGAGAATTCTTGGAGTCATCACTGACAATCCTTCATAACCACTAGTTCAGTACATAGCAGACACATGAAATAAAGCAACAAAATGTTAGGCATCAGCAGGAAGGAGAACTGAGAATGAGGCAAAGTGTCATTTTTGTTGATGCATTACTTAGTGAGTATTGTTTTCAGTTTTGGACTCTGCTTGTCATAAAGGGTGTGGCTGAATTAGAGAGGGTACAAAAAAAAGCAAATAAAATAAGTAGAAGGAGCAGCTGCCATATGGAGGAGAGGAGAAAGCTGAGGACAGAAATGCTATGTAGACAAAATTCCGATGGGGTTTTTGTCCAAGGACCATGTGAACTTGCCTGTGGACAATGCTCCATGCAAGATTTTCAAATGATTACATTTAGCTTGCTCTAAGGTTGATGGTAGATGGTAGATTCCTTTATTCTCAATTTTTGTTTTCCTTTTTTTTGTTTTTTGTTTTGTTTTGTTTTGTTTTGTTTAATTTAGTTTATGTTGTTGTTGTTTTTTTCCTTCCTTGATTTGCCTGATAGAAAAGGCTTATGGGATTTCAGGCAAACTTCATGAAATGAAAGTAGCTAG